ATTTAATTCACATGAAGTAATTTGGAAAAAAGAGCATGACAAATGAGCATTTCCAACAAACTTCTTCTTGGGAAGGTCCTGGGCATCACTGCTGGGCCCTTGGGGTGTGCAAGGTTGTGTGCTCGGGGTGCCTGCCACACAGAAGCTGGGGCGCTTAGGTGGCCTGGCTGCAGACGAAACCCCTGCCTGGCCCCGTGGCCGGCCTGCTCATCCGCCCCACCCTGACCCCAGGGAGTGGTCGCCTCCACGCAGGCCCTTATTTTTATTGGAGCCGAAGCCAGTGGCACTGATTCCAAAGGGAGCCTGGCCTTTGGCTGCAGGCGGCTGCTGAGGTGAAGGGTGTTGCCGGCTGCTCTCTGATGATGACGCCCTGGTTGGCCGGGCAGACGTGGGCTTTCTCACACCCGGTCTGGGTCTGAGAACCAGACTGCGCCTCATTGAGCCATGGGGCGGGCGTTACGAAAGGTGGCCTCCTGTGACTGCTTAGCGGCCTGAGCCTTTTGCCGCCTCCGGAAGTGTCCTTGTGTGCAGGGCAGATGGTTCCTTCCTCGTGAGAGAGAGCCCTTTGTGTGCCCTGTCACTGGCCCACCTGCTGGCCCAGACTGCAGCCCCCTTTCTCCCGCTGCTCCAGGACAGGAGGCCTGGTTTTCTGAGGGTCTATTGGCACCAGTGGTGAAAATATGATAGGAAAATCGCAGCTGAATGGAGAGGCGCCGTCATGTCCCAGGTGCAGGTGGCAGCTGCGCGTGCCCTGCTGGCTTGCCAGGGCCTGTGGAGCGGCAGACTTTCCCCGTTGTCATCTAGGCAGGTGGCTAGGTTTCTTCTGTTTGACCTACAGCTGGGGACCCTCTCCTTGGTAGTGACGTGGGAGCTGCCTGCTCCTCTTTTCCGGCTGCTCTTTGGGTTTCTGGGCCAGTTTGCATTCTCGGCAGAAAGCAGTCAGTGACCTTGAATGAGTCCCTTGGCTGCCCTGAGCCTGTTTCTTCACTCCAGAGGAAGGAGCATAGTAACTCATGGCTGATGTTGTGAGGGTTTCAGGCACTGGTGTGTGGGGAATGCGCAGCCCACTCTGCCAGGCACAGAGGCTTGGTCCCAGCATCCTCGTGTGTCCCCTCTGAGCCCAGCTGGTCCCAAGTGCCGATGGCCTTGAGGAGCGAATAGGCCATGTCTGCCCTGGTGGGCTTTTGGTTCAGGTGTTAGTTGGATACCCACAGAGCTCTCTCTCCAAAGTGGCCAACGACTAGAAAGGAGGGTGCACAGATCATCTGGGCCCTGATGGACGCAGAGGGCATCTCTCACTAGCAGTCGCAGAGAGACCGGAAGAAAGAACAAGGGGGTTAGGAAAAGAGGTGTCAGGGCCCCAGCCCTAAGGTGCCTCTGAGCAAATTAGGAAAAGACACTCCCAGCCCAGGGCAGGTCAGCCCTCACCCTTGAACAATCAGGCTTAGAGTTGGGCTCTCCACCCCTTGGGGTGCCCCTGAGCAGAGAGCCACTTGCTGCTTCACAGCACCCTGGCTGGCGCAGGAGGACACGACGGGGAGGGCCTGTGGAGAGGGGGAGGCCGCATGGCTGAGCACAGGAGGGGCTGAGGGAGGGCTCCGGGGCCCAGGTGGACGCCAGCAGGTGCTAACCCACGTATGGTGGCATCACTCTCCCCGTCCCTGCTGGCACCCAGGCCTGGGGAACAGGTCTTCCTAGAAGCTGCTGGCTTTTAACTGACGAAGGAGAGTTCCTTTTGGGGTGGGATTTGTTAATGTCCCAGAATAAGGACAGTGAGCAAAGAGAGGCATTAAGTGGAAAGCCGGGAGCTGACACATCTCCAGGGCCGGCCTCCAGAAAAACATGGATGCTCCCTCGCAGCCCAAAGAATGCCTGCCGGTAGGGAGAACGGGAACTAGCAGGTCCTGATGGAGAAAGCCCCACATCCTTCCCAAAAAAGGGACAGAGCAGTAGGGAGAGGCCACTTCACGGGCGTGGGAAGTAGAAGAGGCTCCGGGAGGACAGGCTGCGGCCAGGGAGACAGCCTCAGTGGCACTGCTCACTCCGTGTCTTCGAGGCCTGCATGCTGCTCCTGGATTGGATCTCTTTGATTCTGGAATAATTCTAGAGAGCATTCCTGCCTTCACACAGACATGTGCGTAGGGCAAGGTTTTTATGGAGATGGTGGGGGTGGTGATTTTTAAGTCGGATCCTGCATTGTTGCCAATCAACTTGGCCATCTGTGCCAGACTGGCTGCTGCCAATGTCTGCCCTGCTGAGGTCCGTGTGAGCATGGCATGGGAGGGAGCCTGGGCCCTGACTAGGGCACTAGAAGCTGTGTGACCGTGGGCAGCTTACTCAACTTCTCTGTGCATGGGCTTACAGTCAAGTGATGGCATCCTAGGGAGTCAAGGCCAGGGCATTGGGGGTCCCTAGCGTCCAAAGCCAGGTCTGAGGCTCCTGCCCTGGCACAGCCTCTGTGCGGCCAAGGACTCGCAGAGACTGTGTGTGTGAACTGCGTCTGAAATGTTCTCCTTCTGCTCTGCAGAGGTTGCTGTGTTTTGGGGAAACATAAGAAACCAACAGTGATTCAGGCTTGTAAGTTCTTATCAGCAGTTCGGATCTCTAGAAAGCTTTAGGAGAAAAGAAAAAGAATTTAGCCATGCTTTTTTAAAAATACATTTTTATTGCTTTCAGAGAGGGAAAGGGAGAGACAGATAGAAACATCAATGATGAGAGAGAATCATTGATCGGCTGTCTACTGCACACCCCCCACCAGCTGTGCTTGTTCTACTATCTATCTATACTAATAAAAAGGTAATATGCTAATTAGACCATATAGACCAGGCGTCTTCTGGACATCATTCCAGACATCCTTCTTGACAAAGCCATCTGGGTTAGTGAGGGATGAACAAATGACTGAACTGTAGGCTGCTTGGGGCGACCAGGCTGGTGTGTGTGTGTGGGGGGGGGGGGGCTTTGAGGGTTGACCTGGCTGGCAGGGGGCGGCATTTGGGGGCAAACAAGCCAGCAGGGGGAGAGGGGGGAGTTGGGGCAACCAGGCAGGAAGGGGGGGCAATAAGTGGTGACCAGTGGGAGGGGACAGTTGGGGGTGACTAGGCTAGCAGGGAGAGCAGTTGGGGGGGTGGGGAGCAATGAGGGTGAGTAGGATGGTGGAAGGCATTTGGAGGTGACCAGGCCGGTGGGGGGGGGGGGGGGAGACAGTTAGGAGCAATCAGGCTAGCAGTGAGGGGGCAGTTGGGGGCACCTGGCTGGCAGTGGAGGGGAGTTAGGGGTGATCAGGCTGGCAGGAGGGGCAGTTAGGGGTGAGCAGGCAGACAGGCAGGTGAGCAATTAGGAGCCAGTGGTCCAGGATTGTGAGAGGGATTTCTGACTGCCAGTTTAGGTCCGATCCCAGGGATATTCCCCAAGGTGACCCAGATTGGAAAGGATGCTGGCTGAGCTGAGGGGACTCCCCTCACCCTGTGCATGAATTTTGTTCACTGGGCCTCTATCCTATCTAATAAAGAGGTAATATGCCAATTGACCATCACTCCAACACACAAGATGGCCACCACCATGTGGTCAAAGATGGCCACCTCCATGTGAACATAAGATGGCCACCACAAGATGACCTGCAGGGGAGGGCAGTTAGGGGTGACCAGGCCTGCAGGGGAGGGCAGTTGTGGGTGATCAGGCTGGCAGGGGAGGGCAGTTGGGAGGGACCAGGCCAGCAGAGGAGGGTAGTTGGGGGTGACTGTGCCTGCAGGGGATGGCAGTTCGGGGTGGGGGGGGATCAGGCCTGCAGGGGGAAGGCAGTTGTGGGGAGGACCAGGCCTGCAGGAGAGGGCAGTTGCAGGAGGGACCAGCCCTGCAGAACAGGGTAGTAGGGGGCAACCAGGCCTGAAGGAGATGGCAATTGGGGGCAACCAGGCCAGCACAGGAGAGCAGTTAGGGGTAACCAGGACAGCAGAAAAGGGCAATTAGGGGTGATCAGGCTGGCAGGGGAGGGCAGTTGGAAAGGACTAGGCCTGTAGGAGAGGGCAATTGGGGGGAACCAGGCTGGCAGAGGAGGACATTTGGGGATGACTGGGCCAGCAGAGGAAGGCCATTAGGGGTTACTGGGCCAGAATGGGAGGGCAGTTGGGAGTGACCAGGCCTGCAGGGCAGGACAGTTAGAGGCGACCAGGCCGGCAGGGGAGGGCAGTTAGGGCTGACCAGGTCGGCAGGGAGGGCAGTTAAGGGAAATCCAGCCGACAGGGAAGCAGTTAGACATAAATCAGGTTGGCAAGGGAATGGTTAGGGGGTGATCAGGCTGGCAGGCAGAAGCAGTTAGGAGCAATCAGGCAGGCGGGCAGGCAGGTGAATGGTTGGGAGCCAGCAGTCCTGGATTGTGAAAGGAATGTCCAACTGCATCCCTTACTACATCTTTTTAAAAATATTTTTTAAAAGATGTAGTAGAAATTACATATATTCTTGAATTTATGCCACATTAAACTGGAATGTACACTGATCAGAGATAAATTCCATCATTTTTCTTTCAGGAAATAGGTTCCTTAATTTCCCTTCACTACAAAGTTAGGGGAGGAGCCTTTCATTACATGTCAGTCACACTGCAGTGTGCTAAAGCCGTTCTGCTCAGCCTCGGCTCTGTCTCCATGGACTCATGTCAATAAGTGTGTTGCGCCTTCAGGACTAACTGTACATTCACCAACCTCAGTCCTTCAAAGCAGAGCAGGCTAGCACTGACTTAAGATTATGCTGGTTGAAATAAAAACATGTAACACTGGCCAGTCAACCCAATTTTAAAAGATTGGAGGGTATTTTTAATGATAATTGCTAAATAAATTTTGGTAAAAGTTCTAAACTCGTGCGAAGTATTTACAGAGAACCCTATTTCAAGTCTAAGCTTTTCTATCAGAAGTGAATGCACTTACTCCGTGAGGCCTCTGCCCTGTCAGAGGCCTTGCTGAAGCGGAAGGATGTTCTCAGGGGCACATGGCCATCTTCTTGCTTTCCAGCCCACGGCCGCCCATCCCACTGTCCCTGCTGCTGACAGAAGAGGAGGCGGCGCTGAGCATCCAGTCCTTCTGGAGAGCCTACTTGGTGAGTCCTGGACGCAGTGGCATGCGGGTGCTAGGCTTTCCTGGTGTGAGAGCCCCTGGGGAAGAGACGGATTGGAAACAGGATATTATAGTTGACACCCAGACTTCAGAAATAGGGTTCTCTGTAAATACTTCTCTCGAGTTTAGAACTTTTACCAAAATTTATTTAGCAATTATCATTAAAAATACCCTCCAATCATTTAAAATTGGGTTGACTGGCCAGTGTTACTTAACAAATAATATAACAGCCCTGGCCAGGTGGCTCAGTTGTTTGGAACATTGTCCCTTATGCCAAAAGGTTGCGGGCTGAATTCCCGGTCTGGGCACACACATACTACCTAGGTTGCAGGTTTATTCCAGGTGCAACTGATCAAGTTTCCTCTCTCCCTTCAATGTTTCTCTCTCATCCTTTCTTTTTAAAATCAATTTTAAAAATCAATAAAAACAAATCCTCAGGTGAGGATTAAAAATATATATATTAATAAAAGTGTAATAAGCTAATTAGACCAGACGACCTTCTGAATGAAACTGGGTCCTGGGTGCCTGATGGCAGCTGGAGGGAAGCCCGGGTTCCAGGTGCCAGAGGGAAGCCAGTGCCGGCAGCCAGAGGAAGGATGCACAAATTTTGTGATTTCAGTCTCTAGTGTTACGTACACACAGATAGCAATACATGTTCGTTTTAGAAAAGAAAATTCGAAAATCCAGATATTCATATAAAGCAAATAAAAAAGTCACAGGTAACTCTGTCATCAAAAGATTATCATTGTTGCCCCAGTTTGGCTCAGTGGATAGAGCATCGGCCTACAGTTGAAGGGTCCCGGGTTCGATTCCAGCTAAGGGCACACGCTCAGGTTGCGGGCTCAATCCCTAGTAGGGAGCATGCAGGAAGCAGCCGATCCATGATCTTCTCTCATCATTGATGTTTCTCTCTCTCTCTCCCTTTTGCTTCCTCTCTGAAATCAATAAAAATATTTTTAAAAATATTACCATTGTTCACATTTTGGTGTAAACATTTTCAAATCTTAATACCTAACATACAGAAATTAACCTTTTCTTTTAAAACTCATCTTCCTAACCACTTTCCTATTAGTTGTTTCCAGTTTATCATTATTATAGTATACTAGAGGCCTGGTGCACGAAATTCATGCACTGGGTAGGGGGTGGTATCCCTCAGCCCAGCCTGCACCCTCTCCAATCTGGGACCCCTCAGGGAATGTGTGACTGCCAGACAGGGATCAGGCCTAACCCAGCAGTCAGACATCCCTCTCACAATCTGGGACTGCTGGCTCTCAACTGCTCTGGAGCTGTGGAGGGCTGGGCCAGCAGGACACTCAGGTGTGCCACCTGCTGAGGGAGGTGCTCCCAATGGGCAGGGGCCCAGCCAGACCCCCTCTGGCCTCTTCCTCTCCCACCCACGGCAGCCCCATTCTGGAGCCTCACAGGAGTTGTTGGAATAGAGCAGCTCTCTCTGCTGCCGGCACACGCCTGGCCTCTCTGTGAAGAGCCTGTGCAGAGGTGACCAGAGGCAGCTGAGCTTCGAGGCAGGAGGGCGGAGCTGAAGACGGGGCTGGAGCACCTGGATCCAGCTGGCCCAGGAGACCTCTCATAGGGATTCTGCCACAGTCTGGAGCCCCAGCAATCACAATGACAACATAGACATTTCCAGCTCTTGATCACTTGTGCATGAAGGAGGTTATAGGTACAAAATAAAACTCTGGGTTCACCATGCAGAGCTGCCACTGAGGTGTCCTAGGAGAGACTGGCCAGGCTGGCAGGAGGCGGAGCAGGAGGGAAGCTCACCCATGGAGCAGGGTCCTCTACAACATAATTTGTATTATTTAAGTAGTACATTGCCATGTGGAGAAAGCAGGTGATCCATAAAATAATCTTTCCTGTTCATGGAGGAATTTTTTTACACTATTGATGGTATTGACACTGCTCTGTGCCTGCCTCTGCCTTAGTGATGTGTTGGGAGTATCTGCTCAGCACACAGAGATCTGGCTCAACAGTTCAAAGGTTCTCTGAGAACCTTTCTGTGCCTAAATCCAACCATGACTTAGTTACCCCAGTTGGTTGGACATGCTAGTTTTCTCTCCCATGTAAAATATATTATGAAAAAATCCTTCTTCGTGTATCTTTGTGCACTTATCTGATTTTCTGTGTAAGATTGATTGCTAGAAGCTCCAAAGAGTAAGCACCCTTTTTCAGAGTTTCATCATTATTGCTGAATTATCTTCTGGAGAGGAAGGACTCTAGCTTATACCTGTTTGTAGGTACCAACAGTGCACTCAGGTGTGCCCTAAGCATAGGTTTTGATGGCAGAGTGGGGAGAGGAAGAGATTGTGAGTGTGAAGTGTGCTGGGGAAGGCGGTGTGTGACATTGCTTAGGGGCATGCGCAGGCAGCACTGTTGTGCCCAGGTGTGTGGGGTGTGTGCTGCAGACCTCAGAGGCTCTGAGGAGCCGGGAAGTAGGTTGAATGGCCACTAGATACACACTTCATTTTTTTAAATTGAACTTTTGGGGTGGCATTGCTATTGGAATTGTATAGGTTCCAGGTGTACAATTTTTATAACACATTGCATTGTGTGCCCACCACCCAAAGCCGGATCTTCTTCCATCACCATACTGGATCCCCATAACCCTTTACCCTCCCCCGCCCCAACCACTACGGTTGTCTCTGTCTGTGAGGTCTTGATGTTTGTTTTTCCTGTTTGTTCGTCAGCACGCACAACCCTGTCAAGTCTCCTCGAGTCACCTTTATCGCACTTTCACGCTCTTCTGCCCTAACCCACCTCACCTCTGGCCATCACCACCTCGTGTCTGTGATGGGTTTTGTTTTATTTTTTGCTTAATCCCTTCACCTTTTTTCACCCAGTTCCCACCCCTCCCTTCTAACAGCTGTCCTTCTCTTTTCTGTGTCTATGCATATGTTGCTATTTTGTTAGTTTATTTTGTTTATTAGATTCCATGTATAAAAGAGAAATCACATGGCACTTGTCTTTCTCTGATTGGTTTATGTCATGTAGCCAGGTCCATCCATGATGCAAAAGGCCAAATAGTACACTATTGTGTAAATGTTCCACAACTTTTTTATTCACTCATCTACAGGTGGGCACTTAGGACATTCTCGTAGCAATCATTTTTTCTGATAAGTCTTCTCAGGCAAGGGAAGCAAAAGAAAAATAAACAAAGGGGGCTACATCAAACTAGAAGGTTTCTGCACAACAAAGGAAGCTGCCAGCAAGAGGAAAAGGGAGCCCTCCGCATGGGACAATATATCCCCATGACACATCTGATAAGGGTTAATATCCAAAATTTATAAAAACTTATACAACTGAACACCAGGAAAACAAACCAATTTAAAAATGAGCAAAGGACCTGAATAGACACTCTCCCAACAGACATAAGAATGGTAATCATCACTAACTTCAGACAAATGCAAATTAAATTGACAATGAAGTATCACCTCACACCTGTCAGAATGGCTACCATCAAGTCAACAAACGACAAGTGCTGGCGAGGTTGCGGAGAAAAAGGAACCCTCGTGCACTGCTGGTGGGAATGCAGATTGGTGCAGCCACTGTGGAGAACAGTATGGAGTTTCCTCAAAAAACTGAAAATGGAACTCCCATTTGACCCAGTAATCCCACTCCTAGGAATATATCCCAAGAAACTAGAAACACTGATCAGAAAGGATATATGCACCTGTATGTTCATAGCAGCACAATTCACCATAGCTAAGACCTGGAAACAGCATATTTCTTTTCTGTGAGCCACCCTGCCGTGCAGCGGCAGACCCACAGGGCGGGAGCCCTCCTTACTGGTGGGAGCTGGCGAGACAGCGAGGACTGAGCTAGGAGACAGTCTAGATACACTAGGTTTTGATTCAAAATCTGAGAGTTTTCTTTCTGAAACCATACTACATCTTTTAAATAAAATGTATTGGATATCGTTCAATAATTCAATAATGCAGTAATTATAAAATAAATATTGGGCCTTTTGTGGAAATAGAAAAACCCATCCTAAAATTCACTTGGAATCTCAAAGAATCCCAAATGGCCAAAACAATCTTGGAAAAGGAACAAAACTGGAGGACACATTCTCCCTGATTTCAAACTTATTCCAAAGCTACAATCACCAAAACAGTGTGGTAGTGGCAGAAAGACAGACATTCGGATCAGCAGAATAGAACTGAAAGCCCAGAAATAAACTCTCACACATATGGTCAAATGGTGCCAACACCATTCAATGGGAACACTTAGTCTTTTCAATAAGTGGTGCTGGGAAAACTGGATGTCCACATGCCAAAGAATGAGCTGGGCCTTTATTTAAAACTATGTACAAAAATGAACTAAAAAAATGGGTCAAGAACCTAAATTTAAGACCAAAACAGTAAAATGCTTAGAAGAAAACATGGGACAAAGTTCATAGCTCTGGATTTGGCAGTGATTTTTGTATATGAACCAAAGGCACAGGTAACAACAACAACAACAAATGGGCAAGCTGGACTTTATGAAAACATAAAAACTTTGTCTATCATAATATACTACCCACCATTGCATGAGGTCTCCGGGCTTATGCATCCTGCAGCATCTCAAAACTGCTCTTCTTTTTAAGGCTGGATTAATATCCAGAATATACAGAGAACTCCCAAAATGTAACGACAAAGGAAAATCTGTTTATAAAATAAGCAAAGGACTTGAAAATACATTTATTCCAAGAAAATATATGAATGGCCGACAAGTACATGAAAAGATTTTCAACATCATCCAAGCATTAGGAAAGGTCGTGGAGATGAAAAGCCACCTCATATCCATGTAAAACAAAAAGCAGCAAATGCTGATAGGACTCAGGGACATTGGAAAGCTCGTGCACATGTATTTGGTAAGGCTACTACGGAAGACAATATGGAGGGTCCACGAAATTAAAATAGGACTACGACAGGACCCGGTGACTCTACTTCTGGGTATGCACACACAATAATTAAAAGAAGGTCTCAG